TAGGAGTTCCCTCTTTCTTTCTGCTGCATATTTTCCATGATAGAACATATTGAACACCATGAACTAATTTCAATAACTTTAAAAGAATTTCAATTATATAAAATATTAAGCCCTGTGGTGACAAAAGTGTGTACAAGATAACAGTATCACTTAACAAGTTTTCAAAGAAAGTAATGATGGAACAGCCAAGTTTCAGTGAAGCACGAAGATGAGGGGAACATCGAAAGATGTTGAGGATATTGGGGTACTTGCTGATCATGAACCATCTTCACTCTCACCTGATGGCCCTGCTTCCCATTTCCCTGAGAACATAAAGGGCAACCAGAAGAAAATTTGGCTCCTGCTTCATAAATGTTTTCCTCTATTTGGGATCATTTATATCAGTATACAGTCATGTCATTTCTCCTAACTTAAAAAACCCTCTTCTGATCTCACTTTCCTTTCAAGGTACCCAGATTTCTCTGCCTAGCTTTACAGAAAAACACCTTTAAAAGAGTTGTGTATACTCACTATATCAAATTCCTCTTCTCCCATTCACTCTTCCTCTTTTTCCTTTCATTTAACAAATCTTTATTGAATGCTTACCATGTCCCAGGTATTGTTCTAGTGATTACATCATTGAACAAGACAACTGAAGTTCCTACCCTGAAGTAATTTAATTTCTGTCATAGTCTTATCGGAAGTATTTTCCACATCTTCAAATGTGTTCACTCCTTTCCTCTTGAAGATCACTTCCTCAGACCATGCTCCAAACTTATTGGTGGCTAAGGGTGCTGCGTTGATTAGTTTGAGGAGAACTGATATCTTTATTATGTTTTGCATTCTAATTCAAAGAAAAGGAAATCCCAGTGGCTAGTGCACATCTATTATTTTGCTATAGGTTTTATACATTTCTCACATTATTTTGTTCCTGACTCTTTTTTTGTATTAAATAAGTATGTTCGAATACCATTTGATTCCTTTGGCCTCGGGCCTCAGCCTCTAAGGCCTCAGAGTTTGCAAGGTGACCCTTACTTCCCAAACAAGAGCTGGCATATGCCCTGTGCTGGAAGATGCCATACAGTCTACTCCCCTACAAAGCCACAGGTTCCCTTCCCAGGTGAAACCCCCATCTCTTCTTCATAACCTCACTGGGGATATGGCATGTCTAAGGGAGAAAAAAAACTATAAACCAAAGAAACTGCAACAAATTGCCAGCCTGTTCTGGCAGGAGCTGGAAAATAACACTAGAACTGGATTTTGAGGGTGCTGGATCAAGGAGACTAGAATGTAAGAGTGTATAAGCAAGCTTTACTGAATGGAAGCAATTTCTCATGTCATGAGATTTAACACACTGGCAAGGATGCCAGGAGATGGAGGAAACTCACTCCCACAGTAGCCGTTAGAAACTTTAAGAAAGTGACAGCCCACATGGAGAGATGAGAAAATGCTTACCTTGGACCAGCAGGTGGTAAAGGAAGGAACAATAGCATTCAGTTATGAGGCATGCTGGAATAGAGAGAAAATGTGAAGCCATCCACATCACCTGACGGAAATATTTCACAGGTGGGCCAAGAGGACACACCATTCATCAAAACCATCAGGAAGGTTCCACTGACAGGGTTCCCAGCATCACTAAGAAGTTCTGTGTTGATTCTCCTCTGAAGGCCAATACAGATGATGGAAGAGAAATGATCCCAACCTGAACTCATATTCTTCCATGGGAATAATGGAATTCCAACTTAACAGAGGACAGAGAGCAGCTTTTAACAAAGTGCCAGAAGACCACATTTCATTCACATATGACAAGATCAGTGGGGCAATCAAGAGTGTTTAAAAAGCCCTGGTTGGTGTGACTCAGTGGATTAAGCACTGGCCTGCGAACCACAGGGACACCAGTTCGATTCCCAATCAGGGCACTTGCTCGGGTTGTGGGCCAGGTCCCCAGGACGGGGCATGTGAGAGGCAACCACACAGTGATGTTTCTCTACCTCTCTTACTCCCTTCCACTCTCTAAAAAAATAAATAAATAAAATATTTTTAAAAAGAAACAAGCTAGACAACTTATATACTGTTAGGATGCCATTATACTTTCCTAAAAAGAATGACTGCAAATTCTCAAGTTACTGTACACTGGAGAAAGAAAAATATCCAGACATTTATAGGACTGCTAAACAATAAGTCTAAGCTAACATCGATCCTACAGGCCAGACTGTCATGATGGAGAACCTCTTAGAAAGGGGTTTATGAGGCACTGGTAATAAAAGGAGCTGGGGACAGAGTCTCATTCCAGTAAGCTGACTGGTGCTCTGGATCAAAAGAGTGGTCATTTCTCCAGCCCCAACCTTAATCATTATAAGTTACACATTTGGAAGTCAGAGCAATAACACCCACAGAGACATTGGTCTGTGGGGTAAGAGCCATCGAGGTGGGGAAGGCCAACTGAATCCTCTGATACTAGTCCCACCCCACGCCAAGACAGAAGGTCAAAACCAATACCACCATCCTGCAGAACCCCAGGTGGGGGGTGGGGTTAGGAAAGATTAGCAACCCTATTGAAGACAAATAAATGCAGGGGAAGAGGAGGCAGTAGAGCCCCAGGGATGAAGAAAGTGGAGGAGGTGTGAAGAAGTTTTAGGATTCTCTCTATGGGGGAGAGAGGTAGGGAAGGGGGGAAAGAGGGAAATGGTGAGAGGGATGACAGAGACTTCCCCTGCATGGATGGGGAATGTTTCCTAGGACAGCGGTGGGTACAGAGTTTTCTCTGTCCTTTACTGTCTATTTTAGCACATATGAAATAACACACCATGTCTTTAAAACTCCCTGGGACAAGTGGGGGAGGGTGGTATCTGCCACAGGCAGGGATTGTGGGGGGCAGAGGGGCCACACTTCAGGAGTATGAGCAAAACTTCCGAGTGCACCCAGTCTCCCTGCTCCATATCCTTCTCCATCACACCCAGAAAAGTGGGGCCTTGTCCAGCCCCCTAGCAACAGATGTTCACACACCCCAGGCCTCTCTTGGAAGTCATGTGGAGTAGGATGCAGGAGGGAGAGGTGGCTGGAAGGACAGAGGAGTCTGAATGGGAAAGAGAGGGAGAAGCATGGAAGGAATGGGGGAGTGCTGTGGCAGTAGGTGTTGGGTGGCAGAAGCCTGTGGAAATTCTGACCCTTGAGGCCTTCTAGAAACCAAGAGAGTGCCAGGACTGATTGGCTCAAGGAAGCTGGAAGCAGGGCGGTTCAGGAAAATTTGACAGACAGCGAGTGGCCTGTTCAGCCTGCCCACTGCAAAGCCTTGGCTCTGCATCCTTTCACGCCTTTAAAACGAATCTGTATGTACACCCGAGATGTATTCTCACACATTATATTGGATTGAGTAGGGTATCTTTAAAATTAGAAAAATGTAACCAACTCCATAGTTGTGCAACTTGCTGTATGCCCTTGAAATCTAGGACACAGCCTCCCGCGTTGTTTTGACTACAGCGTTTTGGTCTAGTGGATGCATATGCCACGTTGCATTCACCCATTTCCTTGCTGATGGGACTTTAGAGTGTTTCCACTGTCTCCCACCACCAGCACCCTTGTGCACATGTCCTGCTACACTACCTGCACCAGCGTGTCCCACAAGATGTACCTGTCAGAGGACTTGCTGGGTCATAGAGGAAATGGGCGCTTTTGCAGTGTTAAGGTTTTCCACTCAAAGCAAGGGCTCTGGAGCAGGACTGTCTGGTTTCAATCCTACTGCTGATCTCAACAAGCCAGTGACCTTGGCCCAGTGGCTTAACCTCTCGCTGCATCTTTCCTCACCCTTCAGAGGGCACCAACACTGGGCACTTCACTCCTAAGACTGTCGTGAGGATGTGTTAGTGCTTATGGAGAACAGCGCCAGGCACGCAGTACGTGTTGCTTAAGTTGCTCTTCCTCAATCCTGTCAAATTACCCTAGCAAATGGGTCTTCTGTGCCGCAGCAGAGGCCCCCTAAATCTCACCCCCTATGTGGGCCACCCTGCCACACTGCCTCAGCAGAAGGCAAAGCACTTATTTGCTCCTCATCTCTCCCATGTTTGGAATGGTTGCAAACCTGGTGTGTGAAAATTAAAATATAATTTCAGTTAACATCACCAGAATCAATGACGGAGAGCATCTTTTTCGGTGTGTACCGGCCTTCGGGATTCCTTCTTCTTTGAATGGACTCAGAATGGGGACATGCTGAGAGAGCGGGGCAAACCCCACCCCATTCACTAAACCGGCCCAGCCCACCAGGAAATTTTCCTGAGCACCTAGCCACTGGCTGATTAGGTCACACGTCATAACAGTACTTGAGTGGTGGCAGACACCCTACAGCCAGTTAATAGGACCACTTTTGGTTCTCTGGCCCTTTAAGACAAAGTAGGCCACCACCATTGACCAAGGTCAAAAGGATTTCTGGGGCCCCTTTCCCCACTGGGTGACAAGTATCATTGTGGAATAATGGTGGGCAGACCCTTTGTGAGCTACGTGCTTCTCCTCCACCCTGAGGTTCCACCCTCGCAAGCCTTCCGCCCGCCACCCTACAGGTCCCCTCCTCTTCATGCTTCGTGCACGGGAAACTGAGGCTTAGTGTTTCGACTCCACCTGGAAAGCAGGTGCCTGGCCAAGGAAGGCGGGACCGGAAGTGATGCGAGGACATCCCACCACCCTGGAATTCATCCGCCAGATTGCCGGCCAACAGCCACCCTGTCGGCGGGATTTGAGACCCCCAGAGACCCTGCAGCTTATTGGCCAGGGCTTCGACAGGCCTGCATACAAGGGATGTGCTGATTGGGCTGGGGCGGCGGGCCAATGAGTGGGCCGCATCCTGGCGTCACAGGCGCTGGGACGTCACACATTCCTGCGGTTTGACTGGGGAGTTCCCTGAGGTGCCGGACGTCCGGCTTCCGTAGACCGTTCGGTGTTCCTGCCTCCCGCCAGCAGACTCTCCCGCCGAGGCCACCTTGCCCAGGGTAATTGTCTCGGCAGAAGCTGGACTTTCGGGTTCTAGCAGCATGAGCTCCCTGAACGAGGACGAGGGATCTGTTTCCAGGGAGGGGTTGGATCCAGAGAGCGGACAGAGGGCCGGCGCAGTAGGCTTTGCTTTGGAGTTGCCGCAGAACAGAGAAGGCGAGGTTGAGCACCAGGGCCAGGGTGAGGGCGAGGGCCAGTTCCCAGATTCTGAGGGCTTCGTGGGCGACCAGCATGTGATGGAAGTGGCAGAGCAGGTGGCCCAGGGCTGGGAAGGCAGAAGTGGTTCCCCGGCCGACTCTGAGGGCGCCACTTGGGCCTTATTTGGCAATACGGTTGCAATGCCCCTCCCGCAGCGGCTGCCCACCCGAGCTGGCTGGGGTTCCCGCAGAAGCCTGTTCCCAGAGAGCAGGGACAGAGAGGTGTCCACTGTGTGGTTGGAGCCAGAGCCAGGTCCCAGGGGTAGAGGCACGAGGGCCCATGGCTGGCTGGGATCGCAGATATCCCCGGGCGTCTCGTTCCACTTCAGGGGGCCTGAAGGAGACTGCGTCTGGGGAAGCCCTAAGCAAGGGGTGAGGTATAGGTCCAAAGCCAGTGTGGGTCGCCAGCGTGCCTTCGAGGAAGGCCTGGAGAGCTTGCCGTGGTCTGACTCTGATTCGTCCGATGAGTTCAGTGAGATGCAGCTCACAGGGGGGAGTATTCGTCAGAAAGGAGGGGGCTGGGCCAAACTCGAAAGCCTCAGTGACACACGCAGTCCCTGGAGCAGCTCTGCCAGGGAGAAGTTCCTTCCCTTGCCAGGTCCTTGCCTGTCCTTTGCGCCTCAAACACTGTCTTCGGGCGAGGCAGGGCAGGCTGTTAGGGACCCGGAAGTGTCCTCTGAGGAACCACACAGTGTCCCCTGGGGAGAGGCTGGGAGTGGGCCCAGCTACCTGCCCTTAGTGGCTGCTGCAGGTGAGCTGCCCAAGGCCACTCCTAGAGGGAACGTGGCCCAGGAGGTGACAGCCCTGGAGAGGGCCACCAAAGTTGTCCTCGAAGGTTTCTGTCATATGCCGGGCCAGAGAGGTTCAGGAGCTCCCCAGGATCCAGCCACCTCCTCTTGGATTGGTGGTGTTCCGCTGTTTGGGACGGGCAATAGTCATGCCTTGGCCCCTATTGGAACCAAAGAGTCCAAGCCCACTGGCGCTGGGCAGGAGTCTGTGGCCCAGAGGAACAGTGGGTCCGAGCCAGTGGTGGGAGAAGGAGACGCTGAGGAGCCGGGCAGAGAACCGTTCCCAGAGAGCGAAGTGAGTATGAGGCCATGCTTCTCCCTGCTTCCCACCCTTCTGCCCACCCCTGCCTCTGTGCCTCTGCTCCCTCTGTCTGTCCCTCAGGGTTGTCATTACTTTGAGCAGGGCAGTCTGTAGGACACCACTCTGAGTGTGCTGGGCAACACACTGCACAACTGGCAAGTTTCCCAGCCTCCTCCACCAGAGAGGGGCTGGATGGAGGGGGAGGCTGGGACAGGTGATTTGGAGGGGACCCCTGCAAAATTTGGGAAACAAAGCTTTAATGGTTAGACCCGTCAGCTGCCTGACTCCTACCTCACAGGTGCTCCCCAGCCTCCCTTGTAGGGGGCCTAGGCCTTCTCTGCACCCCACTGTTCTCTCCAGCTCAGCTCTGCCTCCTGGCCCAGGGCTGCCTGAGGGAGGATGTGCTGAGGAGCTCAGTCTTGGAACTGCCTTCCCTCTCCCCTGTCCCACCCCAGCCCCTACACACACAAAAGCACAGACAGTCCCACACTCACCCACACACACAATCCTGAGTTCAAATCAACAGGGACTTTTTGTTTCAGTCTCCGACACAAGGGCAGACACATTCGTTTCCTTGTGGATATGGTGGAGAATCTGACACTGGCGCTGTGAGCAACAGACATGCCCAGGATCCGGCACAGTTGGAGCCCTTGGCGCTGAGCGAAGAAGAAGTCTTGGCCAGTGGGCCCGCACCTTCCAGTGAGTCCCATGAGTTTGCTGGGAGTGGAGGGGACAGAGGACCAGGAAGGAGACATCTGGCTCTCGGTCTGGCTCTGGCTCTGGCTCTGCCAGGGTCTCAGCTTTCTCCCTCTCTCCCTGCCTCTCCTGAGAGCTTCTCCCACAGGAAACAGGGTGTCAACAGGGCGGGACGAAAGTCACCTCATCTCCTGCATGAGATTTACATGCAGGGGTCATTTGTGGCAGTGTCACAAACTGCAACTCCAGACCTGGAGTTTCAGCAGAACAGGGCCTTTTCTGATAAGTCCTGTTGGGCCACAGGGCTCGTCTCCCAGGGGCTGGTTGTGACTGCAGCTCTTCAAGTGTCCAACCCAGAGCTATACACATTTTGGGGACCACAGTCCTGGGTGGGCTTCCCCTGGGACACAGGGCAGGGGTGGCCAGAGAGAGGCAGGGAGGTGCTGGACCCAATGGGGCCACCTTGTTGCCGGCAGAGGGTGGTGCTGCCTCACGTTAGACCCCCCGAAGCGCTTTCTTCCTCCCTGGGAGCTTTGGAAGCTGGATTTTTGTGTTCTTTCCCTCTCAGGTGACCTGGAACCTCCTGAGGAACTCCCAAGACCTGAAAGGCTGCAGCAGCCAGAGCAACCACCTGGAGCAGAGGCTTGTCCTCAGGTAAAGCTTCCTCTGGCTCCTAGAAATACAGGCCCAAACGAGACAATGGGATCTGTGTCTGGGATAAAGTGACCTGTCAGTGATGCCCAACACCTCACCACCACCACTCTGCACTTCCTGGAGAGTATGTGCTTCCTTTTCCACTGAGGAGCCCTAGCAGGTCTTGCCCCCTAGATGGGGAGAGGGAGCGTCCGGGGGACAGAAGGCCTGAATATGCTAATCATTTCTCTTTCCCTTATGTCTACTGGCCAGTGTGAAGAGCTCCAGAGAGGACTACATGCCCTGAGACAGCAACTTGGTATGAGGACCCTGTAGCCTTTGCCTGGGTCAGGACCATGGGCAGTCTTACCTTGGGGAGGATGAGGGATGCAGGGCCTAGGGATGGACATTCCTGTGGGGAGACAAACCCACCAGGCCTGGCCCTGGAGCCTGCTGTGCATGCACAGCCAGTTTTCTGGACAAGGAGGAAAGTGTGGCTCAAAATGCAAGCACACTGTGCCAGCCCCAACCAGTCCTAGAACTCTCCTTCCCTAGGACGTCTAGAGATGCTGCCTCTCTGATTTTCCCTTCAATACTGCTGGGTATGGCCTCTGTGGGTCTTGTTTGTCTGACAAGTTCTGAGTGGTTCTGATATGCCCCCAAGCTTGAGCACTCCTGGGCACATGTTGTCCTGCTTGAAAAACATGTCCACCTTCCATTCAAGGGGTGGGGGAGTGAGTCAGGCCCAGGGCTCCTTGGGTAGGGTTCTGCAAGGGGTTTCTATTGCAGGGCGAGGCACCTTGTCCCAGGGACAAGGGGGATGGGCTTCAGTATCCCTCCCTCTGGAATGACTACTTATGCCTCTCTGTGTTTCAGCGGCCATGCAGTCCCTGATCGAGAAGCTCCTGGGACATTGATGTGAGTGTTACACATACCATACCCCTTCTGCAAAGTCATGGCTGTTGAAGAGTGCTGTGCGCTGACCCTGGGTGGACGGTCCTCCCTGACTCTGCTCTGTTTGACAGGTGGAACCTAGCACCTTCCGGCAAGAACAGCAGTTGGTACCGTTGTACCCCTTGAGCTGTGGCCAAGCTGGTTCCCTCCTGTTCCCCTTCAGCCAGTGCATCTGCACTCCCTTGTTTTGCTTATTTTCACATTAAAGTCTCTCTCAAATTCTGTTGTCTCTGTTGGGGGCGGGGTGTATGGAAGTGGGAGTCCGGGCAGGGAGGGCCTAGAGCTGCTCCCTCTCAGAGCTGTTTGCAGAGCAGTACCATTGGAATTCTGTGGTGGGCTTTATGCCTGCCGGGTTTCTGAGCCACCCTCTGATAGGAGCCCTGCAGTCAGGCCACCTGATGCCCTGGGTCTGGGCTCTGGGTGGCTCTGCCTGGCCACATTGACATTTCCTGCTTTTCCCCTGTAGCCCCTCTTGTGACTCTGTCCTGCTGTCATCTGCATTTGGAGTCTCATCACATTTGTCACTGAATTTTCCCTTGCCTTCAGGAACTCATGACCCCCTTCCAGAGTTCAGTCCCTCTAGCCATCAGTCATCTGTTCCTGGGTGGGTGTTCCATCTGCCCTACATTGCTGTCTGAACATCCTTGATCTCCCCCAGGGCTTCCCACAGTGGCCTTGTCTGAACCTGTGATTCAACAGGTGTAATAGTGCCCAGTTGAGCTCTTCTCCCTAGTTCCCAGGACCAGTCACTGCGGAGTCCTTCCCTCCCTCTGGGGCCCATGTGCACATGTACACTCACCCAGGAACCTGGGGGATATTTTCCTCCCCTTTAGCTCTCACCTTTGATCCTCAGGTATGAGTCTAGTCAGGTCTTCTCTTGGATTCAATGGAGGGGTGGAGGCAGAAGCCACAGAGCAGGGTCTTCTAGATCAAAGGGGAAGGTTCAGGGATCATGGAGAAAAAAGGGCACACATTGGTCTCCAGTTAAAGGTCAGGGAATCAGTCTTGTGCTAGGTGGTGGCCATGTTCCAGAAGGAGTGGTCACAACCTTCCTGGCCTCCCCAGCCAATGCTCCTCCTGTAGCCTAGTCATCTCCACACCCTCCAGTGGAATGTGGGCAGCCAGTGTCTATGGTGAAAGTGGTTAGTAGGTCTCACTGTTAAATGGTGCCTTTCAAATACACCTGGACCCACCTGGGACTCAGGTTTCCTAGCGATGGTAGTTCTGAGCCCCTGCTCAGTCTCCTGCACTCCCCTCTTAGGTCACATGAGGTTGAGTGTGACTCTGTGTTCAGTTTCCCCTCATTGATGGCTGGGAACTGGTTCCTTCCTTCAGCCAGCACCCAGAGCTGTGCAGGCCTGGGACTCAGGACACACTTGTATTTGAGAGGGTTGGGGGCTGTTTCTGCCACACTCCATTCCCAAGAGACTGGTGTTTAATATGCAAACAGGGACCTATGGTGCATATAACACTCAAGATAGAATATGAGTGTGTGTTCGTGTGTATGTGTGTGTCTGTGAGTGAATAAAACTAACCAGGGATAATGTTCCTTGAGGAGAAGCGTGTGGTTAGGGAGTGAGTCAAGATCCTTAACACGTGGAGGGAGCAAAAGCAAGTGTGGTATCTACTTTTATCAAGGGGCAGTGTTACATCGCCAACACATTGGGGGTGGGGAGTATGCAGAAGCCACACGTTCCATAGGCAGGGTGTCATGAATATGAAAATGTCAGAGTTGCTGGAGGTGGCTGTGGATTGCAGTGTTCAGACCTATGATGTCTGACCACTCCTGGAGTGAGCATGGGGAGGATGTCCACCTTAGACTAGAGGACACACCTCATCCTAGAGGCAAGGAGCTCACGCAGGACACCACCCTCACATGGTCAAGCAGGGCACGGGCAGCATGGGTGCAGTGAAGGAGCAAAATAAAGTGACTGCACCTGGGTAAGTGGGCACACTCAGTTCCACCGTTCCTCCACATTCTCACCCTGTCTCTCACCTGTGCCCTGTGCATAAGCTGAGGCAGACAACCCATCACCTGTGGGATGGGACCATCAGACCACAGGGCCACAAAAGAGTGTTGGTGGGACTTCATCTTTCTACTTCAAACCTCTCATTTGTGAAAGTAGGCTCAGTTGCTCAGGCTGTGCCTGTGTCTCTGACCCAGGGGCTATCTCCTGGCGGGGTGACATGCTGTTTGAGTGACTAAGTTTGGGAGAGACTTTCCAGATGATTTTTCTGCTGACAGACGTGCAGGCAGATTGCAATGTGGGCAGTCCAGCACAGGCATTGCACTGGGATCCCTGGGGCTAGGATGGCGAGACTGAGGAAGGTGAGAAGTGCGCCGAAGGGGTCATGGGACGCAGAAACGCAACATGCAGAGGCTAGTTTTACCTGCCTCCCTTGCCTCCTTGAGCACATGCTCTCCCGCTTCCATATGGAGACCCACTTGGGCACAATAATCTGCTATAAGCTTGCACATCACAGGTCACAGACCATCTCAGTGCCTTCCAGTTCTAGGGGGAAATGAGGGCATGTACTGAGGCATAGAGTAAAGAAACACATCAGGGCCCCAGGGAGATTGATGAGGTTGAACCTCAGCCCTGATTCAGCATGCCCATTGTGCCTTTTCCCTCCAACCTTCTCTCCAAACTGGGAGGTAGTAGTGGCTTCCCTGGAGAGTCCTTCCCAGCTGGCCTACTTCTGCTACCTGCCGAGTTCCTGGGCAGACCCCCACCCCCACCCCCAAGTCAACCACCACCACAAACATGTCCCTCAGCTCGATCTCGACCAGCCAACTGCTCTTAGCAGACTCTGGGAAAGTTGGCACACCCAGACAGTGTAAGAGGAGTTGAATACAAATAGGGAGCTGAGAGGAGCAGGCAGAGAAATTGTGCCCAAAGATGACCACGTTCTAATGTTCGCAATCAGCTAGTATGTTATCATGCATAGAAATGGGGTGCTAACCTGTGCACCTGCAACACTCGTGCAATTCAACTCATTTCTACAATATATTTTATTGATTATGCTATTACAGTTATCCCATTTTCCCCTTCCCTCCACCCTGCACACTCTCTCCCACCCACATTCCCCCCCTTTAGTTCATGTCCATGTGTCATAGTTACAAGGTCTTTAGCTCCTACATTTCTCATACTATTCTTGCCCTCCCCCTATTTTCTACCTACCATCTATGCTGCTTATTCTGTGTACCTTTTCCCCCTCTCTCCTCCTCCCACTGCCCTGTTGTTAACCCTCCATGTGATCTCCATCTCTCTGGTTCTGTTCCTTTTCTAGTTATTTGCTTAGTTTGTTTTTGTTTTTGTTTTAGGTATGGTTGTTAATCACTGTGAGTCTGCTGTCATTTTACTGTACATGTTTTCTATCTTCTTTTTTCTTAGATAAGTCCTTTTAACACTTCATATAATAAGGGCTTGGTGATGATGAACTCCTTTAACCTGACCTTGCCTGAGAAGCAGTTTATCTGCCCTTCCATTCTAAATGAAAGCTTTGCTGGATAGAGCAATCTTGGATGTAGATCCTTGCCTTTCATGACTTGGAACACTTCTTTCCAGTCCCTTCTTGTCTGCAAGGTCTCTTTTGAGAAATCAGCTGACAGTCTGATGGGAACTCCTTTGTAGATAACTCTCTCCTTATCTCTTGCTGCTTCTAGGATTCTCTCCTTCATTTTAATCTTGGGGAATGTAATTATGATGTGCCTTGGTGTGTTCCTCCTTGGGTCCAACTTCTTTGGGACTCTCTGAGCTTCCTGAACTTCCTGGAAGTCTATTTCCTTTGCCAGATTGGGGAAGTTCCCCTATATTATTTGTTCAAATAACTTTCCCACTTGTTGCTTTTCCTCTTCCCCTTCTGGTACCCCTAAAATTCGGATGTTGGAACATTTAAAGATGTCCTGGAGGTTCCTAAGCCTCTCCTCATTTTTTTAAATCTTTGTTTCTTCATTCTTTTCTGTTTGATTGTTCCTTCCTTCCTTCTGGTCCACTCCATTGATTTGAGTCCCAGTTTCCTTCCCATCTCTATTGGTACCCTGTGTATTTTCCTTTATTTCACTTAGTGTAGCCTTCATTTCTTCATCTAATTTGTGACCAAATTCAACCAATTCTGTGAGCATCCTGATCACCAGTGCTTTGAACTGTGCATCTGATAGGTTGGCTATCTCTTCATTGCTTAGTTGTATTTTTTCTGGAGCTTTGATATGTTGTTTCGTTTTGGCCATTTTTCCTTTTTGTCTTGAAGCACCTGTTCCATGTGAGGGGAAGAGCCTTAGGTATTCACCAGGGTGGGGCAACCCACGTCTCTTCATTGTGATGCTGTTTGTGGGGGCAGGGGAGGAGAAGGAACAGTGGCGCTTGCTGCGCTCTCAGGGATTTGAGTCCCTTCTGCTCCTTCCCCCAAGCAAACTGGGCCCTTCTGGTGCTGAGTTCTCTGTGGATTGGCTTGTGTACATTCTAGGACCCTGTGGATCTCTCCAAGGAACTGTCCTGTGAGGCTGGGAGTCTCTCCCGACACCTCAACCCCCACAGGTATTTTCAATCGAAGTTTTGAAGCTTTATTTCCCCTTGCTGGATTCCTGGGTTGTGCAGTCTGTCTCACTCCCCAGTTTTGCCCGGTTAATTATGCACGAATGTGGGACCACCCAGTCAGCCAGCCACCTCACATGCTGAGCCTTTCCACAATCCACTGCCTCACTGGGTTTGCCCCACCTGGCACCCGTGGTCTGCCAGTTGCCACCTGCCACCCAGGGTTCACCAGCCACCACTTTTTTTGCCAGGCCCCCTCTCTCCCCTCAGCCGCCCTACTCCACCCCTCCCACCGGTCTGGATGAATGTGTCTTTTTTAACTCATTGGTTGTCAGACTTCCATACAGTTCGATTTTCTGTCAGTTCTGGGGTTTTTTGTGTGTGTTTGTTTCTAAATTGTTGTTCTTATTTTGGTTGTGCGAGGAGGCACAATGTGTCTACCTACGCCTACATCTTAGCTGGAAGTCCCTACTCAACTCATTGTAAGGAAGGGTTTTTTTTCTGGATTATCCATTCAGCTTGAATATCATCTTAAGGCTTTGAAGTGGCAGAGGGAGGTAGGAGTATAGACCGTGGTGATCAGCTATGAGC